GGTTCTGACTCCGAGCAGGGCACAGAGAGGCTGGTTGGCCACCAGGAGGCGCCTGAGCCTTGGACCAGTGGGGAGGAGACAAGGAAGAGTGATCAGGACGTCAGCAGTGGGGAGGAGCCAAGGGAGTTGTTCCTAGATGCCCGGCACCGGAGAGCTAATAGGCGTAAGGAATAATTACACAATTACAGGAGGTAATTGCACTCAGCTGGTGGTCATTAGGCTCCTCTCCAGACTATAAAAGGAATGCTTGTGCACACACCCCTTTTGCAGAAGTCAACGCAGGAACTAATGTTGGAGAACATTATTGTGAGCTTGGCAGGCTGGATTGCTGCCACGGCTTATCTGTGCTGGATTGCTGCCCAAGCTTGTCTGTGCCCATTTGCTGCCAAGGACCTGTCTGTCTGTTAATTAAATGCCGTAACTTATCTTTGGCTCGGAGTGTGTGTTGGTGTGGGACGAGAGGGGTCAGAACAATTAATGACATTGAACATAGACAATTTCCACAGAATATAGGTTTTACAATTAATTCTATTTTATTATAAACAGGCTATTCTAAATGGCATTGATAGCATAAACAAGGTTCTGGAGCACTTTCGTCGTAAAGGCATTAATCAACACGTTTTGAATGGCTATCATGGAATAGTGATGAATAACTTTGAATGTGAGCCTGCCTTCTACACCTGTGTTGAAGTTACTGCAGGAAATAGGTATAGTTATCACTAGTTATTTTTTAAGAGTGTTTTTGTGTTGCCCTTACACTGGTAAGTTAAGATTATTTTTTGAAGCAATTATAGGCTTCAAGTAAATGTTGCTATCAACATATTAGACAGTTCAGTATAGTGATTAAGGTGGTCGATCAAAAGAGATTCTGATTCAGTCTTCCCTTCGGCATGGAAACTTTGGACTGGTTCCTTCCCCTCATCCCTAATCAGTTTTGAGTTATCAGGCAGCTGATAAACCATCTGGTTGTATCATATATTGATAGCTTTACTGTAAGAACCAGGCAAACAAAGCACAAAAACATAATAATAGCTTTGTAAGCACTTAAGAGAAATAACAAAAGTTGTCTGACTCAATTATATAAGTTTCTCCACCTTTTTATGGTTATCTTTGACATACTAGGCTGTCATAGTTAAAATAAACCTTGATTCATTTTCTTTAACTTTTATGACAGGTTGTTTTATCACATTGTAGATTCTGATGAAGTTAGTACTAAAATACTAATGGAGTTCAATAAAATGAATCTACCAGGGGAGGTGACTTTTCTTCCTCTGAACAAACTGGATGTTAGAGACACTGCATATCCTGAAACAAATGTAAGTTTGTTTTGATGTAAATTATTTACTACCGTAGTAGTTGAGTTATATAAGTACAATATTTCGATATTAAGATAGCTGCAAATAAATAGAATGAATAAAAATATAAGTAGGGTAGGCTCTGGATTGCCTCCTTCTGTATGTTGTGATTCTGAATAGCCTAAACTCATGATATTTCCTTTGATTTAACTGTCTCATAATTAGTATTATTTGTATTTTGCATTTCAATGCTTTTTATTCCTTGTAATGGTTCTCTGTTAGATCATACAGTATTTAATCTGCATCTTTTAAATCTAAGAAATTCTACTGGTTTGCAAATTTTTAAGCTATTTGGCTTGGTTATTTTTTCAGGATGCCATTCCAATGATCAGTAAACTGAGGTACAATCCAAGATTTGATAAAGCCTTTAAACATGTTTTTGGAAAGACTCTTATTTGTCGAAGTATGGAAGTATCTACACAGCTGGCCAGAGCTTTTACTATGGATTGTATTACTTTGGAAGGTATGATTGGTTACAGTTTGATTTATGATGTAAATACATATTTCAGTTTGCTTTGATTTGCCCAACACAATATTAAATTCAGTGTACCAGGATTTCCAATTTAACCATGAGTTTTATGTTTGCTAATGTCATAATTTCTGTATTCAGAAAAGTTACAATAATATTTCACTACTTCTTGTATAACTGATTTAATTGATTTTGAGGCTGGCTTGTTTAAACATTGTCTGCATAAACTACAGTTCTCCGTTCTCATCAGATAACAATCTGAATCTGCTGAAAGTAAATTCTGGTAACTTGTGCATGTAACTCATTATGTTCTGACAGGCCAATTGTTTCATGTACAGACCAGTTTGAAAACTATTTTTTATTCAACAGAACATCATTTTTTGTTGTAGGTGATCAAGTCAGTCACAGAGGGGCTTTAACTGGAGGTTATTATGATACAAGAAAATCTAGACTTGAACTCCAAAAAGATGTTAGGAAAGCAGAAGAGGAACTTGGAGAACTTGAAGCAAAACTCAATGAAAATCTACGTAGAAACATTGAAAATATCCTTCATAGATTACTTGCTTCCTTGTCTGAGATGTGCTGTATATGAGAAGTTGACTTGGATATGAGGAAAGCATCCTTAGTGTTACTGGTATACTTCTATGTATGTGAATGCGTGTGTACATCTGTACCTCAACCACTGTCTGGAAATTCAAAAGAGATATTCTGTTGTTGAGCTGAGGATCAAGGTTACTTGGCCTGGAAAAGAACTTGAAGCTGATGTTATAAAAGCAGGTGGCAGTTCTTCATTTCACTAGAATTGTGCATACCCTTTAAAAGAGATGCTTTGAAATATATACATTTTTGACTCACTAAACCAGATGTGACTTTTTTCGGGCTTCATGGGAGGGAGGAGACAAGTCAAATAGCTTTATGCAAACATACAGAATTTCTGGGAGTAGCTCTGTGAGCCTAAAAAAAAAGATAAGAATGTTTTAACTCCCCAAACAGATATTTTTATTTATTATTTATTAAATTTCTATACTACCCATCTCTCCGAAGTAATACATGCTTCATATGTGTTCTGTGCATGTATATTTAGAAACACCTCTCTTAACAGTAACATTCACTTTTGCTATTTTCTAATCTCAGAAAATTAATTTTGAATGTTGGCTAGAATTCATTCTTCTTTTTCAAAAGAGAGAAAATTTCTGGTTTTTACAAATTATCGTATTTTTTTGCTCCATAAGACACAATCCCCCCCCCCCCCCCCCCCGCCAAGTGGATGGAAATGTCTGTGTCTTACGGAGAGAATATTGCATCACAGATCATGAAGTGTATTACCGGTGCAAGTCCTTTGGTGAATAGCAGCCGGGCTGCTGCTGCAGGGTCATTTTACAGTGCTGAACGCCACCTCTTCTGTCTTGATCATTGCCCGCCTCTTCTGTCTCTTTTCCGCAGTGCAGGAATCAATAGGCAGAGTTGGCACATGAAAGGATACCTATCTGGTCCTCTCCACCTGATATTTTTTTCTTGTTTTCATCCTCTAAACCTAGGTGCATCTTATAGTCAGGTGCATCTTTTAGTGCGAAAAATATGGTATATGTTCTTTCCATGGAGCATATAATATCAGTTTTAAATGGTCAGGGCTAGTGTTATATTTGTGTGATAATTGCCCCTGCCCTAAAATACATTTTTAGCTCTGAAAGTGTAAGCAACTTTAAGCTTTCTTGCTTTCTGAAAAAAAGCTATCTATTATTCTAGCAAACTTTCAGACTTTAGTTGTGTTTGGTTGGTCATCATAGCCAGATAATGATGTGGTAGTGATGATAATAATTATTTTCTATTTTACTTTATTATATATTGGAATTATTTTCTGCCATTCAGAATCCTAACAAGTAGGTAAAGAAATAAATAGTCTGCAATTGGTTGGTTAAGTTAAATAGATGATATGATTACTCATCTATCATTTTAAGCAAATTAGAATTTTTATTATATTGTAACATTTAACTTATTTCTTCTACAATGATGTAAATGAGAAGTTTTATTGAAACTTAGAACCATTTTAGCATATTGGGTTATACATAATCCATCACTTTAAGAATGGACAGAATTTTTCCTTAGCGCATTGCATGAATTAATAATGAAATTGATCAACTGATGAATCAAATGCAGCAGATAGAAACACAGCAAAGAAAATTCAAGGCTTCCAGAGACAGCATTTTGTCAGAGATGAAGATGCTGAAAGAGAAGAGACAGCAGTCAGAAAAAACATTTATGCCTAAGGTACAGAATATCTGAGAATGTTTTCCATTTGGGAGGCATTTGCTCTAATTTTAGTTGTAGAATTCAAAGACAAAGAATGGGGTTAATGTTAAGTGGTTTCAAAAGAAGAAGCAAGTGATGGAAGAAAAACCAATAGCTACAAAATTAATTGAATCAGGAGGTTCCTTTCATGAATGAATAATTATACTTGGTTTAATTTCATTTTAGCAACGCAGTTTACAAAGTTTAGAGGCAAGTTTACATGCTATGGAATCAACCCGAGAATCATTAAAAGCAGAACTGGGAACAGATCTGTTGTCTCAACTTAGCTTAGAGGACCAAAAACGAGTTGATGCACTTAATGATGAAATCCGACAGCTACAGCAAGTAAGCACGTTCATGTTTCAGAATGATGTTCGAGAGTTATTAAATTAAAAAATAACAATTTGTTTATATTTCCATAAGTAACCTAAGTATTTATTTATAGCAGCTATATAGGCATATTTTGTCTATGAACAGCTATAATGACTGGGCTTACAAATATTTTGTAAGCCAGAATATGATAAACAAGCTTAGCATGTTGTCTGACTCCAAAGTTGGGTTTTCTTCATAATTCAGTGTCTGAATGTCAGTTATGGCTTAGTCGGAAAACCATTGTTAAGCAAACCATGGCCTAGTGTGATGTATCAACCCCAGTACATGTGTATTAATATTCTTCTCATCTTAAGACTAAGAATTACTTCTTGTAGCATTCTGATAGTTTTAAGTTCACACATCTTAAAATTAATGAGGTTGACAAACACTGAGTAGGTGGTTAGCTTGTCTGTTGTTGAGAAGGTCCTGATTGTAATATAAACCAGATGCATTTCATATGAAGTGGTGGAGCGGTTTAGGAAGTTTCTGTGAAAGATTTCATTGTAATTTAAAAATCCGTATTACTTAATCTTGGAAATATTGTACAAATTTAATTTTCTTGTACAAATTGAAATATTTTACAAATTGATATTTCTTGCTTTATAGGAAAACAGACAGCTTTTGAATGAGAGGATCAAGCTGGAAGGCATCATCACTAGAGTTGAAACCTACCTCAATGAAAATTTAAGGAAACGTTTAGACCAAGTGGAGCAGGTAGGATACTTTATTTTTTTAATCCGTTTTTTTAAAACAAATCTTGATTTCAACATAATGGCTCTGTTAGATATCATTATTATGAGAAAGGGGAGTAAATCTGTTTCTAAGAAAATTCTGTTTCCTCTTTAAGATATGACTCACTTGCCTATTTGAAACTTCCCTGAAATGTGCCAACTATCTTCTGAGTGAACTCCTAACTTGAGTGGGGGGGAAATGTAAAGGCAAAAAAGAAAAAAAATCCTTTTGTGGCATCTGGGCAGATTTTTTTTTAATAAGTGATTTTTACTATTGCCCAAGAATTATTGTTAAACTCAAGATAGCAGCTCATTAGAAAAATAATTTATAATAAAAGCATACTTTGAAAAAAGATTTTTTTCATTACTGAGCCTTCATTCCCACAAATCTACTGAATTTAACTACATACATGGTGACTGCTACAAGAATGCCACCCAAACTCCTTATTGAAAAATGTGTACAGGCCTTTCTGCAGAACAATGGCTAATTAAGGTCTGGGACTGTGCCTTGATATCCAAAATCATTTTATATTTAAAAAGTAATCTAACAGAATTTAATTCAACTTAGAAACTTTTCTTTCAAGATTTTGTGAAAAAGTTGATTAAATCATGTTACAAATCATATTATGAATTAAAAAATTAAATGCAGGAATTATTTCAGGCAGTCACAAGGAATCAATATTGAGTTGAAAGCACAAAAACATTCCAATTTGTGATTTTGTACATATTGTTAGAATGTAATTTCTAGTCATCCTGAAGATTGGAACTTTGGAATGTAAATGTTAACTCTGTCTTTCAGGAGCTCAACGAACTGAGAGAGACAGAAGGTGGCACTGTTCTTACAGCCACAACATCTGAACTTGAGGCAATCAACAAACGAGTAAAGGATACATTGGCACGATCAGATGGTTGGTAATCTTATTTAAGCAAAGAAAGTAATAGTTTGTTTTCTTAAAACATACATGTATGTTGTTAGGACAAAAATAAAGCACAAATAATAAAAAATAGAGTGAGGACAACCTAAGTGTTATAAATTTTTCTTCAAACAGATTTACGTCATATTTACGTATATATATTACAAATGTTTTAGAATGATTCAACAGAATACTATTTATCCTTATTTTATAGTTTATTCCTTTGTTTTTGACCTAAATGCTGCCATTTTTTAGACCGAATGTTTCTTCTGGTGATTTTCATGGGTGTAGGTATGCTGGTCTTGTTGTATTTGGGTCTTTTCCATATATTTCCATATATTTCCATATATATATATGCTACACACACACAGTCATACATACATACATACATACATACATACATACATACATACATACATACATACATACATACTTTTTTATTTTAATAGACCTGGACAATTCAACTGATAAAACAGAAGCTGGGATAAAAGAACTTCAGAAGAGCATGGAACGTTGGAAGAATATGGAGAAAGAACACATGGATGCTATTAATCATGACACAAAAGAACTTGAAAAGATGACAAACAGGCAAGGTATGCTTCTGAAGAAAAAAGAAGAATGTATGAAGAAAATCAGAGAACTGGGCTCTCTTCCCCAAGAAGCATTTGAAAAATACCAGACTTTGAGCCTAAAGCAGGTAACAAATGTCTCTAGTTTTAATGATCAGAGATGATAGATGTTAGGTAATATCATACATTTATAATTTTTTTTAAACTCTTTTATGCAGCTCTTTCGCAAACTGGAACAGTGCAACACAGAATTGAAAAAATATAGCCACGTTAATAAAAAAGCCCTCGATCAATTTGTGAACTTTTCAGAACAGAAAGAAAAGTTGATAAAACGTCAGGAAGAGTTAGATAGGGGCTACAAATCCATCATGGAATTGATGAATGTCCTTGAACTCAGAAAATATGAAGCTATCCAGCTGACTTTCAAACAGGTATCCCTTGACAATAGTCTAACATATAGAACATGCATGTTCTTTGGAATTAAACACCTTAATGTTATTAGCTTCTTTTCTTGATCTCTGAAATATAAGTGGTTTTGTAGTCATTTTAACTTCCTTCCAAAGAAAGGGATTTAGTTGTAAAATGCTTAAAAATATATTGTTATGTTAAATGTTAGGGAATAAACAAGTTTTATATAAACATTATAACTTGATAACTATCAAAACTATATTTGTTGAAAGAGGTCATTTAGTCAATACCTCATTCTTTTATTGTTTGTCATTCTTGAATTTTGTTTCATCAAGGTGTCAAAGAACTTCAGTGAAGTGTTTCAGAAGCTGGTACCTGGGGGCAAAGCAACACTTGTGATGAAGAAAGGTGATGTGGAAGGCAGTCAGTCTCAAGATGAAGGTGAAGGCAGTGCTGAGAGTGAAAAGGGATCAGGATCTCAAAGCAGTGTTCCATCCGTAGATCAGTTCACTGGAGTTGGAATTAGGGTAAAGCAAGACTATTTTCAGTTGGCCTTTAATTATTGCTAAGTCAGTTGCTGATAATATTTAAGAGAATGTCTCCAATTGTTTCTCTCCACCCAGCATGTCTATTAAATATTGTCATTTTGCAGGACCAAGGAAGCATGTTTTCTCTGTTGCAGTCTCCACCCTCTGGTATAGCATTTTGCTCTGTCAGTCTCTCAGGGTTCTGGAAAGCTCTTAATGTGGTTTTCATCCCCCAGACCTGGGGTTAATGTATTGGGGACGGTGGGTGTCTGTTTTTTATTATTACTTGTGTCATTTTTTAGCTCATTTTAATCTTCGTGGCTTTAGGTTTTATATATTTTTATTGATTGGGAAGGTTGTATTGTAGCTCCCCTTTGCACTTAGAGAGCCTCAGTAAATATAATCAATAAACTAATTTTTCTGCTGTTTCTTCAGGTGTCCTTTACTGGGAAACAAGGTGAAATGAGAGAAATGCAGCAGCTTTCTGGTGGACAGAAATCCTTAGTGGCTCTTGCCTTGATTTTTGCAATCCAGAAATGTGATCCTGCTCCATTTTACCTCTTTGATGAAATTGATCAAGCCCTGGATGCCCAGCATAGGAAGGCTGTTTCAGGTACAGATACGGATATAGAGTTTCAGATCAGTCTCTTGTGCATATGAGTCTTTTGTGTGTACTTGCTCCTTTCTATGAATTTTTTCTCTTATTTGTGTTACTAAAACAAAATTAATATGTGATACCGAGCACACCTTTACGGAGAGCATTAAGATGTATGTTCAGCTTATTTGTCCTATTAGCCTATTTCACTTAAAAAATTAGTTTGAAACATTCTTAAATAAAAGCATTTGGCACAAAATCTTGATGTCAGTGGCAGAATGTCAGCTTTCATGTAATCTCTGCTAAAATGAACTGTGTAACGATAGTTCATATCATTTTACTAGGAAGTTTTTAATAAAATTGCTTGTGGCTACTTCTGAATATAGCTTAAATAATTTATTAATGTATATATGAGGTTTATAACTATTCTCCAGGTACACAGTTATGAAATGCTGCAGTACTTTTTTGATAATAATTGTACACTTTACAGTAACACTTAAGGGGAATGCTTGTCCTTTGGAAGGATCTTCACAAGTGCCCTTCATATATGCATGAGTATAGTTGATAGATGGTACAATCAGATAAGAGAAGCAGGAATCCTCAGTGTCTTAACAATCAGAGAAACTTAAGCAGGACCCACCCTAATGAATCAAGCAGTTAAAAGTGACTGCAGGACGTTTATACCTTCAGACTTGCACTATTCATGTCAGCCCAGGTAAACCAGACTGCAAACACTACAAGATGAACTAATTCTACTTTATTGTAAGGCTACATTAACAGAATCTTGCAATCTGAAGGTACAAACTTGCTGCCATTGCGTTTAACCACTTGATCCATTAGGGTGAGACTTTTCTCAGTTTCTTTCTGTGATTACTTAGCAGTTGTGGGCTCTTGTCTGATTGTGGCCTATGCAGCATTTCTTTCTTCAAGGCCACTAATGCATTCCATTACATGCCTAATTTTCTTCCTCTGAGCATGAAGCCACTTGGGACTCCTACATCTCTTGTCAGATTGTTTCCGAGGCATCATCTGTTCTCCTACTTTCCCAAGGTTGTTCATACATTTCATTATACATAAAGATAATTTTTTTTACTGTACAACACTAGTCTAAAGTGCATTCAGTATAAAAAAGGGAAAACTAAACAAATATTCTCTTTTTATTCTTTGTTTCATTGATTACAGATCCTGGATTAAATTATCAATATCTTTATAGAAATCATTTATAATGAAGGAGTACTAAAATGCTGTGCTCAGAATTATCAGGTTCTGTATTGATTAGTGGTTTTAAAGCGTCAGCAATATTTTATGCCTCATATACAGTATATTAGAAAAGTATAAATTACTATCTTTAGATCTTTCTTTAGTAGAAAAGATGCAAGGTTTTCTTTCTTGCTTGCTTGCTCTTTTCCCCCTTTTTGTGTAAAAATATTTGAAATCACTAAAACATGGTGGTGTAAAGTCAAATCTTTGAACTGAATGATCTCCATTCTCTTTGGCACATCATAAAACACTTAAGTATCTTATGTTACTTTTGACATTTAAATTTGTCAAGAAATTCTAACCATAACCAGACTGCTGAAACTCTATCAGCCAAGTCATATAAAGTACCAAACCACACACTGGTACGGTCTTGAAAGACTGATGTGACATGGAACTTTATATCCCACTGGTAGCATTGCATCTTCAGTCATATGAGAGCCAGCTGTTGGATCAAAAAGTAACTAAGCTTTAGTTGATGACTGAGACTACTGCAGATGTTTTGTTTGTTAAAAGTTTTAGATTATGTACAAATGGGCACTGTATTTTAACTAGTTGTTAAATTTTTTGCTGCTTATCTTGCTATGGGGCTACTCTAGGCGACTTACAATAATAAAAAGTAAGAAAAATGAAAAGGCATGTAAACAGAACGTAAGTAAAATAATAGAACAATAAAGTAAAAAATGATGAACACAACGAAAATAAATACATTAATATGATAACCAAAAGGATGGATGGGTGGACAGTAGAGAGCAGGGGGAGGGATAAGGTGGAGTCTGCCATCAATAATCTAGCTTCCACCTCCAGTTTACTTCATTTATTTATTTCAATCTATTTCAGATATGATCATGGAATTAGCAGAACACGCTCAATTCATCACCACAACATTCAGACCCGAACTGCTTGAATCTGCTGATAAGTTCTATGGTGTAAAATTCAGAAATAAGGTGTGCAGCTTAAACTGTACAGTGTGAATATTATTGTATGCTGGTTAACATTAGTTATTAAGTTCACAGTATGTGTTTATTTGTGTCTCAAATTAAGTATTTGTAGTTGCTATTTTTTCTTGATTTAAAGACTAAAATTCGCTTAGATTTCAGCTTGATTTAATTAACTTAAGAACATGATGCGAACTGATAAGTTATACTAAACAGTCATCAAACATTTCAGTATGATGTTACATTTAGATCAAATATGTATACTCATTTTTCTAGACTTTTTAAACTACAAGCATACTAATATATCAATTAACAAATCATGATGTCAAAATTACAGTGCATATATTATGTCACAGAATATGGTCCCATGATTAGTGCAAAACTCTTCATAGGAATGGACTATGGAAGAGATAGACATGACTTCTTGATAGTCATAGCCATTTACATTTGTATTTTTAAAACAAGGGCTGTATTAAGCAATTTATTATTTGTGCAGAAATAATATTGTACATACAAGGACTCTGACAACCAAATGAATTATTCACTAATGCTAATTATTAATTGAATTTTTCCAATTAATAATTGCCATATCATTTTTGCTTATTAGGTAAGCCACATTGATGTGATCACTGCAGAGATGGCCAAAGATTTTGTGGAAGATGATACTACTCATGGCTAGGTGGACAACTGCCAATCTGTTAAGAAAATGTAATATTTTAACCAACATTGAGCAATTGTATAAATCTAAATATGCAGTCACTGTTCAACAGCTTTTAATATACCTATTAGACCATTTCATAATAATTTCTTTGGTGTTCTCTGTATGTACATGTGTTGTTGTATTCGTTTATAAAGTATCTGTTTTATATATGTAGCTTGAAAATATATTCTCTGCAGATTTTTTGTAAACTGTTTTTCTTGTTTAAATATGTCTATTGCCAACTTCAGTTCTTGCTTTCTAGTGGTGCTCTGTTATATTGCCTCACATGATTTTTTTTAAAAAAAAACCAGCTTCAATAAAATAATTGTTTTTAATGCTATATAACATATTTCCTTCTTGAAAACTATTTTTGATTCAGGGGCCATCACTTCATACATATTAGTTTGATTACATAACATATTTGTGAGAAAATTTGCATATTAGTGCTTAGCAATAGAACATAGGGGAAATTAAGTTTATGACTTGATTTAATTTGCTTTTCTAGATACCTATATGTTACCTTTACTATTTATAAAACTGATTTAAACATTTCATCTGATTTATGTACTACAAGGGCTCACAGTTAAATTGATTTTCTATTTCATCAAAAATAAAGATAAGAATCATAACACTAAGAATTCATTCACGTTTGAACCCTGTTCATCCTCCTGTTGCCAAATTGTTTATGTCCACCTATTATTTGATTTCTAGAAAGCAAAGAATGAAATGGGAAACATTTTATTAAAATGTAAGTTTTTTGTTCTATATGCTTTATCAAGTGTATGGAGTCCATAAAAGCATAGGCTGTAAGAAATTTGATAATTATTAGTGTACTATAAATCTGTAATAGATAAAATTTACTACCCATTTAAAATTGAAATATAGTATTTTTTCTTATATAAATTTTGTTAAATAAAAAGCAACAGAAAAAACAAAACAAAGAAAGGGAAAGAGCTAGAATAGAAAACATATATAGTATAATCCCTAACTCATATATTTTTTTAATGAAAAATATTGTTGCATAAGCTTTACATAGAAGTGAGAGCTTAAGTAGAATTTAAAGCATGAAATTTATTATTAAGAAAATGAAAAAGGGAAAAATTGTGTTTAAGAAAAAACATTCAAGAACCCATCTTTTATTTTTTTATAACTTTTAAATGCTACTTATTTTTATACTAGTCCTTACATTTTTATTTATTATTTCTATATAAAGCTGTTTAATTAGTTTTGTTTAATTTTCAATTTAGTTTTTAAATAGTTTAACTTTTTTCATAAAATATAATATTTCAAGATATTAACTTGTCTTGCTGAGTGGTGTATTGTACAGGTAATCCTTGAGTTATGACAGTTCACTTAGCAACTTCAAAGTTACGACATTAACCACTCCCCAAGTACTTACAACATAGTCTGGAAGTTACGAATGTTGCAGCACCACAGCAGTTGTTCACCCTTACAAACGACCACAGCAGCACTGCAAAATTTGTCCTGCCTATTCCACCGCCCTCCCTGGGCTGTGTCTCCATAGGTACTGGGCATATGGAGACTCATTTACCTTGAAAAGATCTAGTGAGCCTTCAGTTTATTTGTCTGCTTCATTGCTTCAGACCTTCAGTGCATTGACAGAACAGAGAGCTAAAGTACCATTAGATCAATAGCACGAGATTTCACGCTACTCATCTCATACGATCTCGCACTATTTTAAGTTTCTGTTATCTGCGAATTTAGGCCTGGACGACATCTGCAACAAAAGGCTTTACAAAGGGAGATAAGTCTTCAATTCTTCGGCCCTTCCCTCTGTTTGCTGAGCCTGCTTGAATTTCATTAGACATCAGTTATAAATACTGTATATGAAATCAATTTTTCCATTGCTGCAGATTTTGATCTAATGAGTGGACAAGATTTTTTCTTTCTGGTGTTAATGCCAGATTGATTCTTCTAATTGTCAGCATAAAAAAAACACAGCATTTCAGTCTGTTACGTTATCTGAATATTGTGTTACAAGAATTTAAAAGGGTCTTATCATCAGTCACTGGAGATGGAGCTGACAGCAAAGAGTTAATAGGGCCTCTATTAGTGGGCAGGACTTAAAGACTACCTATATGCAGAGGAAAATCCATTCACTCCTACACCCTGCTTTTGGCTTTCCTGTCCTGTCTATTCTGGGAATGAAGAAAAGGAGAAAGACAATCAACAACTGCAGGAAAATGTGTCCTGGTATTCTGAACCAGCACATTGGCATGCTGGTGGGAGGCCAAAATTAAAATGGCTAGGTGGGTAAGCTAAGAGCAGCCAAGGGACCAGGCCAGGGGAAGAGCATCAGCTGACTGGAAAGAGGCAAGCAACAGCAATACTGCACACATCCCAATGTCGCTTGATTGGAGCAGAAAAAAATTAAAATTTTGGAGCAACTGCCACTTGCATGGGTAAGAAGGGAAATTATGAAAAAGTGGCTGTGGGGAGCAAGATACTGCCAGTACTAGCAATTCTTCAACAGGATGGAAAAGTGGTACCGTGTTTTCCTGAAAATAAGATAGGGTCTTATTTTTAATTTTTTTGACCTTATCATATTTTCCTTTGACCCCCCGAAATAAGCACTTGGCCTTATTTTCAGGGAGGTCTTATTTTTGAGGTGCAGGAGGCAGTGAATGTGGTCACCTCATGGCTGCTGCTGTGTTGCAATATTTTCAGGGAGGGTTTATTTTAGTCCATGTGCTCAAAAGCTCAATTGTACTTATTATCTGGGGAGGTCTTATTTTCAGGGAAAGAGGGTATGACATCACCCAAACTTACCAGTCTCAACCAGATAGAACCTAAAAAATCACCCTTTACTCCACCAACAGAACAATGGTCTGAAAAGGACAAGAGAGAAATGAGACAGCTGAGTGATAACAAGTACAATAAGTAAACTATATTCAAATTTATGGGAAACTGATTACAGAGGTCCCCAACGTTTTGATCTCTGCAGATCAGTGGCAGCGGGGAGGGGATTGCACAAATGCAGCTTCATGTGCTTGCCTGCCACTTGTGTAGCCTGATTCCCAACAGGCTGCAGTCTAGTATAAGGTGACCAGATGTCCCGATTTTGGTGGGACAGTCACGATTTCTAACAATTTGTCCCATGTCCCGCGGCGTTTTTAAAAAGTCTCGAT